AAGGCAGTTACTTGAAAAGGCCTCCGTTCCTTGCGTAAGGTAACTGGCCTTTGAGAACTGCACTAATACATTCCACAATAAAAAAAAGTATAATAATATAAAAAAATACATATATAAAGCAGTTACATAAAATTTTAATTAAACATTACTGCTACACATTTTTTTTCCTATTTACATCAAAATACATAAAGAAGAAGTATGATTAATAGAACTGAAGAATGTTCCTAAAGCCACCCAGAAGGCATAGTAGTTGCAATACCAAAAAGTCCAAATTCGAATTCTGGAGAAGTAAATTGTCCTCTCATAGGAAGGTAACAGTGGCTGTCTATTAGGTGCCTCCATAAGAAAATGACCACCACGTTCAGCCTTAGTAATGGCAAAAGTCTAAAAGCGGCTAGTGAATGCAATTAAAAAAAAAGTACGTTCCTAAAAATTATCTATTACAAAAAAGTAAAGCAAATTTATTTTTCGTTTGTATTCTCCAAAATAACACTTCTTTAACCCTTTGCGGCGCACTATACGTTAACATCAGAATTTCAACAAAAAAGTTGTACGCAGTCCATTTAGTCCTAAAGGAGTATACAAGTAAAATTTTGTAAAAATTGCACTTACTGTTTTAATTCTGTGGGTGTTCCATGAAATGGAACACTGCGCCGCCAGAGCTTTTAAAAGTGCGACTAAGCGAACATTGCAGTGAAACCCAAAAATGGTGTTTGTGTTGGTGTATTTAATTATGGCAAAGCACACTAGGGCTATCTGCCTAAGGGGAGGGATACCTTCGTGGAGGACTTTCTAAGGGAAACTGGCTCGTATACACGTTACACATGGGGAAAACCACAAAAACACCCATGCAGCCAGCCTTTTCGCGGGATTCGAACCTCGGATCGAACTACCAGTGTTCAGCGACTTTACCGCTCAACCGCTGGTGGGCCCTGAAGCCTGAAAATGAGTAGAAGCGTTTGTATAAGAATGAAAAAACTCTGTATTATGGCTGCATACATGGTTTCCTGGATATACACAATATTCTTGAATATATACGGATAAATGAGATAAATATCTATATACACAAGTCCTATATAAAAAATATTTACAAATTTTCCTATTTCTTAGCTTCGTGAAATTTTCAAAGCAAGTCACACCTTTTTGATGGAAGCACAAACCAACTACAATTAAAATAATTAACTATGATTAATATTAACAATAAAGAAAAAAAGCCCATAATCTATACATACACGAAAAATATCTACACAATTATTGAAAATAAACGGGAATGAGACTAAAAAGGGACAGCAAAAAATTCCCCCAGGTCTAAGTAAAGATGAGTCAAGCTACTAATAAAATTCCCACCCCAAAACTACTCCCAAAAAATTCGAGATGCCAATATTAAGGCTTTCATAACACAAAACACGCCTCACGCCTCAATACTGCTTTGTTTGAATTCATTCCCACCCAAAAAACAACGGAAACAGAAAATGTAAACAACGGATGTTCTCTCCTAAGCACAGATGTTCTGATTCGTAACAGCATGAGATCACTAAAGGCGCAGTGTTCCCGCTAATGGAACACCTGGGTTTATTCAATGATTCTGCGTATGTTTTTTGTGTGAAAGATTAAAAAAAAATATAGAACAAATAATTTGGAGTACAGCCAGCAAAATTATGCCTAATATTTTTTCCAAATAACATTTTTTACATCGTTAAAAAAAATAGAGGAAATTACTTGAAAAAAAGTGGATTTGAATAACACATAATAAATGAAAATTCTGTGTCTCCTTGTGATATGCTGCTATCTACTGTTTAAACAGAAAAGTTCAAAGTATAATATACAGGCATTTTTATCTATTTATGGTTGAATTTAAAGGTTTCAGAAGCGATTCAATTTGGGTGTTCCATGTAGTGGAACACTGAGCCGCAAAAGGTTTAAAAACATTCTAGGAAAATTTTATGTCCGCATAAATATAACCACGTAGTTATAAGTAGATTAGGAAATAAAATATATTTAAGTGAAATTTGATTTTATAGACAAATTTGTAGCAAAATCATATTTTCATATCAATACAGTTTGCACAGCAAAATGTAGTTGGTGTATTTCACAGCATATATCGCACTTAGCTTTCAGTACTAAGTTCCGAGCTCTTTAAAAATATTCACATAAATTTTCCTCAGAGAGCTAGTTTATTGGTAAATTGTACTTCCCTTGATTATTTTTATTAAGTATATTCAATTTACGTTTGCATGTTTGGGGCTGGTATTTCATCCATTTTACTTTCCCTTGCATTTATTAGTTGAAGCATATTTTGTGCAGGTTCTTTGTTAAGCTACTGTGTCTTGTGGCAGGTATTCTCACACTTAAGAAACTATTGAAACATGTGATTTCACCTTACTTCTGTTTATCTACATTCCAGCTCCTTACAGCCTTATCTATTCAAAATCCAGATCTTTTGATTGACCTCCTTTACTTCTGTTCCTCGGATGTCCTTCTTGGGAACTGCAGTTAAGATTCATTCATGTAAGGTGCCCCTGGGGCTTCCCACAGTAAGTAAAAGTGTGATGTTTCCAGTTTAATTACCATCAGATATTGGTTCAATAGCCATCAGATATTTAATGTTTTTACTGTGTATTCATATTGGAATGCAAGTTTCTTTTATATTGGCCCAATATCCATGACATATTTAATGTTCTTACTCTGTATTCATATTAGAATGTAAGTTTCTTTCAAAGGACTAATATTTTGGTAGTTAACAGTATATCCATGACTACTTTTAGTTTGTTATATTTTTACTGTAACCATGTTCTTTAGAAATTAAATCACTTACACAATTTTCTCTCAATTTTTCAGACAATACAATCACTTAAAAAGGCAGGGGGGGATATGAGGAAATGTGGTACAGTCAAATACTGAAAAACCACCAACTTCTGAAGTCCGCATTGCCTCTCAAAATATAAACATTTAGTTTATAGGTTCTGGAAACCACAACATGGAGTATGAAATATCGAAGAAAAAATACTTACTGCATAATGACATCATAATTACTGAATAATAATAAGGGAAATACCAAATTATTGACATCATGATAAGAGTTTTTTTCCCTTCCAATCTGCATCAAGGTAAAAAAAAGCAGATGATTAACTCAACTCTTCTTCACGTTGTTGTACTTTCTGAGCTTTGTTATTTTACAAGATTGTTTAATGATGTCGTTTTTTTTTTTTTTTTTCTATCTGGATATTTTGTGGATAAATTAAGAATATTTTAAATTTCAGCGCTTTTTAATACGACACATAAGAAACGCAATCGCGATTTTACTGCTTGCAATGTTGAAAATGTAAACACGTTGCATTGATGGTAATGAAAAAAGTGGAAATTCTGCTAAAGGTGGAGGCAGGTGCTACTGCTCGTGTTATAGCGGAATCATATGGAATTGGAACACGGACTGTGTACGGTATACGGAACAATAAAGAAAAGCTGTTGTAATTTTACAGCAACAGTGATTCTAACACTGGAATCTGAAACCGGAAATCTTTACATGAGGCGAAATCGGCAAACCTTGATGCTGTCTTGTACGAGTGGTTGCGGCAGCGAAGGAGTGATGGGGTACCTATTTTAGGACTACTCCTGAGAGAAAAGGAGAAGCAGATTCATGCTGATTTAAAAAAGAGGAGCCTGATGTAAATGAACAATATAATATAATCAGTTTACATATGTAATAATAATTTAATGCATATAATTAATTATTGCATTAATATATATAATAATTTAATTAAATGTATCGAATACACCTTATTTATTTTGCACGTTTAGTCTCAATATTATCTTTTCTGTCCTGAAATTCGCAAAATCCGCACAAACTCTGGTCCCAAGCATTGCAGATTTCTGGACTTCTACTGTAATAGAAATTCAAACACAAGTAAAAAATCATTTTACATTTTAATAAAAAAAAATAATTTGTGAAGTTTTCAAAGATTTCCCAGGTAAATGTATTCTATTTCAACCCAAAAGCAATTACTAAATGTACAAGTACAAATAAAATTAGAGTAGACCTCCCTTGAGCTTACATATTTTGGGATAGTTTAGTTGTTTCTTTTGTCTATATTAAGTCTTGAACATGAGAGTAAAATAAATGTGATCTATCGACAAGCACAAGGTAATCAGAAAACGAGATTTATAAAAAAAAAAAAAAAAAAACTAGAAATACTCTGCTTCATTGTTGATAATGCTTAATTGACCATACACAAAATTATAAGCCAAGCTTTTTAAGGCTCAAAAATCTTTCATACTTGAGAGGTTATCACAGTCTTAAACAGGCTATAATTATATCATCATGAATTGTAATTCTTTTCTGGAGAATTCCAGAATTTGACTACTAATCTGCATTTTGTGAAATGAAATGCTGCCAACATTTTCCAAATTAGTGATCTTTCACTATATTCTAGAGTCTGCAGTGTAAAATATTAATCATGCTATTTAAGTAGGATTAAAGACACTTCACTAGAAGTAAGTTATAGTTCAACAGTAACTGAACATAGAATATATACATTATTTCATAACAATACTAAATCAGTATTTTAAAGGGTTACAATTACAAAGCATAGTATGCCAATTATGGCATCTTTCAAATATAACACTTTCTACTACTACATGTTTAGAGCGAGATAAAATATGCAACATTATGTTCAAATTACTTTCGTTATCACTGAAATAAATGATTTGACTTATAATTTCTCAAAATATTTACTTGACCAAAAACATCACATTCACATAAGTACAGTTATTTAAAAATTTCAAGTTTTAGAATAAAAACTACTGTCAGCTTTATGCAGCTCAAATAACACCCTTAAAGTATTTTTAATTATCTGTAAACATAGAAAAGAAAATTTACGTTACAGCCGTTTATTCTTAATTTCCACTTTCAACACAGGATACATATAATTTAAAAATTTACTTCCTAAAATAAAAAAACTGACAACTGCTTAATTTTTCCACAAAGAATTTACTATACATACCTAGAAGCTGTTGTTACTATGGCATCAATGGATTCAATAATGCGATGCAAAGCTGAATCTGTTCCTATAGTCATATCAGTACCACAGAAGTCATTATCAATAGAGCCAACCATACCGACAATATTAAGATGTCCACACTCAGCCCTTTTTTCAGCTGTAATTACACCTGTTAACAGACACATTTCATAAATTTATTAATATTATGCAGATGAAAAATTTTCCAGTAAGGCAAACAATTCATCACATCTCAACAGAGTGCTGCTTGTATCACACTTTGCTTAAACCAACAAGCATACTAAGTAGCATATAAAACCAAAATACATCTTAATAAATACAGATATATTTTGCCCACAATTGTAGCTTCTGGTGTAGGGTTGTATGCCTTAGATAACAAACAATTTCATCATTGACCTCTAATATATCTGATAATCTAAGAAAACAGAGTAATCATCAACCCTTTCGCAACAGCACACCTTTGTTTCAGATGCTTGTACAGAACGGAAGGGAATCGAAGGCAGTCACTGTACAGGACGAAGGTTTATAAAGCCTAGTTTACTAGTTTACTAGTTTTAAGCCTAGTTTTATAAAAAAAATAATTTCACTTCTAGCACCGTAATTTTTGGTATCATTTAAATTATTACTTGAGCTCTTATATATGTTAAAATTAGCACTTAATAAAATTTTTCTTTATTTTACATGAAAATATACTTAAAAATTTCCTTATCTTGTAAAATAATTTTTGGAAGTGCTATTCAAATTATTCCAAAGTTTTAATTGATAAAATCCATCAATAAAGTTTAACAACAAAATAAAGACTATTTACAGTAAGAAGTAACAAAATTTAAAATGATGACTGTGGTAAATCTCGAAGCACAAAGAAGTATCACTTTCTAACTCTTTAGTAAAAGAACCATCACTCTCATCTGCATTAGTAAATGGTTCATTAACCATACGAGGGTATTCTTCCTCTGATAAATAGTGCCTTCCCGCCATAATAGATTGGAGGAGAGGCTTTCCGAAATAAAAAGAGAAGAAACAGGAATATATATCTGAAGGCAATGCAAAACGTAACAGTTTTGCATTGCTCAAAGTAACCCTAAAAGACCATATATATATAAAAAAAAGGAATTGGATATAAATCAGACACATTAATATTTATATCGGCGATTTAAAGAGCCCACCTCTGTTTACGCTTTCCCAACCCCCCCTCGCAACAGTTGATGAGTAAAACTTGTGTGTAACTGCTACATGTTGCTGAAAATAAAACTGAAGACAGAATATACAAACAGAATATATCAAACTCAAGTCAAACAGCAAACTCAAGGTCAGAAACCTAACACTGTGTTCATTTCAAAAGTAATGGACATAGGATGCCATTCTAGTGGCCTTCAGAAAAACGTTCCAGCTTAAAATTCATATACGCATCACCCATCCTCTGAATGCAATCTCTAGTGACGCGTGGATGGGACACCTGGCTGTAAGAGATGTTCTTAGGGAATGTGTATACGGGACACCCGTCCTGAAAGGGTTAATCACTTTATTAACTCTAACAGACTACTGAATACTCATCAGTATGGTTTCAGAGCAAGCCTTTCCATTCATGGCTGATGCCTTGGACAAACTATAAATCATTATTATGAATAAGTTGGCTAACTTACATACATTTATCACACCTATCTACATTCTGCATACCTTCAATTCACTATGGTGGCAATTCACGGTATGATAGAAATTTAAAAATATGGGCCATCCTACTTCTTCGATCTTCTTTACAGCAATCTAATAGGCATGTGTAAGCTACAATGTCTAAGCCATATGACACACATTAAAAGAGGCTGCTTACAGGGATCGTGTCTTGGTCTTCTGCTGTGGAATATAGTGGCAGACATGGCCTCGGTACTTTTTGTTGAAACAACAATGTGAATATACTAGCTTATGCTGATGATTTTCTGTTAGAGGTCAAAGGATACACTAGAAGGGAATATGAGACAGCTGTAATAACAAGCAGGTAATCTCTTTAGCAGTTAGGCTAAGGAACACAAGCTTATCATTTTTGTGTCCCAAGAGACAATGAATGCTTATCAAGTTCATGAAGAAAGTACATGCACACTCCCTGTGTGGATCTCAAGGGAAAAAACATTAAAATAGTGAGATGCCTGAAATGCTTGGGTGTGATTACTGATGTTCAGCTACACTGGCATGATTATGTATTGCACATTAAACAATGCTTATACAAACTCTTGAAGTCTCTGAATAGAACTACAGCTACTAGGTAGAAAGTATCATCATGGATGCTCAGAATCTGGAATCAGACAGTAGCAGAACATGTAGCACCACATGAGGCTTCCGAGTGGGCTTCCCATATTACCATAAACATGGCACAACTTAGTTTTGTACAATGTACCTTTCTTCTGAGCATCTGCCAGGGATATCACATCTCTCTGACCAGTGCTGTAAATGTGCTTGTTAGACTTATCCCTCTTAACCCAGTAGTATAGCAAGAAAGTGCTCTGGTACGCACATTAAGACACAAAAACAATACAACCCTGTGAAATCGCATTTATCTCTACCTGGAGTACAAACCTAGTTACCGATATTGCCATGTCACCTGGCGGAAATTAATTATTATAACAGAACAGAGATCACTGTCTTTCCTGGACCCATATATTTACATAGACAGCTTAAAGGGGGAAAGGGCATAGGCTGAGGCTTTTGGGTGCCAAGAGGAATTCATGTATTACTTTCTTAGACATGGAGACTGGATAACAATAATTCAGTGTTCCAAGTAGAGTTGACTCCATTAACCCTCTCAGCATTATTGGATGAAAAATTCTGCATAGAAGGATGGCTTTCCTATTTATTACACGTGAAAATTTTTGCCAGATTTAATGTATCTGATTTTGGGTTGGATGTATATTGGAAGAAAAGGAGTCAAGGTACAGAGTGAGAGATTCGTTTTTTAATTATAATCAAGAAAATACCATTTATTCATGAAACTCATAATACTCACAGTATTAAAGCAGCTAGACAGTGCTGTGTTAAATTTGGGCACTTCATGGCGATCTATACATATTCGGCATCCAATTTGCATGCCATTCAAGGACAGCATTGCAGAAACAATATTTCAAGGAAATCCAAAATTTTTTAATCTCCCTGCCAGATAACAACAGGATGAAATGCCAGTGGGTTCATGCACACAGTGGGCTCCATGATAATAAAAAAGGGGATAAAACTATGAAATTGGCTGTCAGTGATCTCAACACAAGGATTTGCATACCACAAAGGCTCTCATAATGGGATAATGACAGAAGATCTGGGATGATGCAAACACAGGAGAGTGTACACTTTTATACCAAAATTTTCAGCAAAGTCACATAGCAGTATATAAGAACTCTCACAGTTTTTCAGAGGTTATGGTCTATATGTGTGCTGTCTGCAATGTTCCACTCTTTGGGACAGTGAGCATGAATGAGTGTGACAATCACTCAACATAACCTTGACCACTACTTATTGAAATGCTCTGAAACAATAACTTTTCATCTCAGAAAACCATTTACCATGCATGGGGTGGCATTAATTACCACGCATGGGCCAATACTACCCACAGCAATTAAACATCTTCAGAGCTGCACCAATGTAGCTTTTAATTTCAGTTTGCAAGAATAATTTAAATTTACTTAGTAGTATGTAATTCTACTTTGGTATGCATCGTTATTTTGTCTATAACAAACGCATTAAAGGCCTTTTTGTCAGTGCAAATTAAATATTCCATTCTCCCCCTTCCTTCCACTATATGATTTATAATATACATATTTTCACAACAGTGGTACACTGGTGCACATAGCTGGGACAAGGTTGAGGTGAAAAATAGCTCAGAAGCTCAGGAAAAGAGCACATAGCTCAGGCGAAAAATTAGAAGTCTCAAATTATCCATGAAAAATTAGAATTCATTTAACTCTTTGAATGGCATGAACGGCTCTGAGATTTTTTTTGTCACTTGGCATATTTATTACCTTATTAGCTTATAGTTTAAGATGTTTTGCTTTCTTACTTTCTTGAATACTATAAATGTCATCTTAATGAATGTAAGTTCATGAAAATACAGACTAAAATTAGTAAATATACAAATTTAGCTAATAAACACTGTTTAAAAACAGCTCTTTACAGCAAATCCAAAAAACCTGCGTCCCACTCAGAAGGTTATTATTAAACAAATTGTTCATTTTCAACTTTAAAACACATCAAAAAGACCTATTTTCAAAACATATTTACAGTAACAAAAGTTTGTCAACACTATTTTTATGATAACTTAAATACACTGCATTCCTGATGCTTCTTTACTTTTCTGTATATAAAGATTGCCTAGCTGATTTCCATCATTCATACTTTCTATAGCCATCTTCTCAGTCAGGATGGTGGCTTTCAGTTCACATTTTAACGCAGCTTAGTGTCAACATAATAAACAGCAAAATTATTTAAATTTGAATTAATTGATTTATTTATTACTTTACAGCAATCAAATTTCTTTAATACATATATTTTAATGCATTAATTCCTAGATAAAGGTTAAAAAAAATTGGGTTACAAACAATCTAACTGAATTAAGAGAATTAGTGGGATTAATTTGCTTTCTAAATGTGCTACAGTATAATGGTACTGTATGTACCACTTTTTAGCATTACATTTTTTTGGGGAATTGCCACAATGAAGTTGGTTTATATTTTCAGAAATAAGCTACACAGACAAAATGTGATCATACTGCTGAGTAATTCTCTACTGCCTCCCCCTAACTTGGTGCAGTAGCTCTTATTTCATCCCAACAGCAAAACAAGCCCATCAGAGTCAACAAACTGAGTATTTCTGCTAAATTTGTTTTAATAATTCTTACGTTCAATTGTTCATTGAAATGACATTCAGAGATTTATTTAGGATATTTAATAAAAAAATAACAAAAAGGCGTTTATAAAATAGACTTCTACTTGAAACTCATAAAATCATTAGTGAATTAAAAGGAGGAAAATAATTTTTTGTTATTAAAAAAATAACAAAAAGGCGTTTATAAAATAGACTTTTACTTGAAACTCATAAAATCATTAGTGAATTAAAAGAAAGAAAATAATTTTTTATATAGTTTAAAGGAAAAAAGAGATTAAACAATACTTTTTA